ATAATTCTAAAATATATAAATAATAAATAAATACATGAATAATAATAAATAAAACAAGAATATAAAAAGAAATAAAATAAAATCCAGGGAATATGCTAACTTGTGGTAAAATAATTTAAAACAAGATTCAAAATCAGTTGCATGAATTCAGAATCAGAAACAAAAACAGTGAAGGAAAGCAGAAAATTATTCTTTTTAGCCACTGCAGGCTAAAACCAAGTTTAAATTCCACAATAAAGAGCAATTAATAAGTAAAACCAGCCAATAAATGAAGTTGTAAAAACAAGTACTTCCAGATCTACAGTCAACTTGTCCATGGTGAATATTCTGTGGTTGTTGGACGGCAATACCTATAGGAATGTATTAACATTTCCTCATTCCTTAATGAGAATGCAGTAGATACCACACATGCTTGTGTGCTTACCCTAAGCTTTCGGCCAAACACATTGACTTTTCCCTGGGCTTGCTCTTTCCGGAATCGCCACTCCACCAGGTTCTGTCCATTCTCCCCCGGGAGGGTCATGTTTCTCTTTGCCATGGTTGGGTTGGCAGTGCCAGCCAAAACGTGTGGCTCTGTCTGGTAGTGTGAGTCCAGGCCACTGGCATACAGGATTCTCAGCGAGCCATCATAACCAATCTGGTAGCTATTTCTTAATTGATCTGAAAAGGCAAAATAGAGAACCACGGGTTACCTGCATGGGTTAAGACTCTGCCTTGTTCTGCACACTTTCTGCACTATGTGCATGGAACTGACCCAGTGGTAATAAACAGCCAGGGTGAGATTGGTAAGAACATTGATATCACAAATGCCTTTACGACCTATCATCAGTCACTTAAACACTTTAAAAAACATCCCATCCTCACTGTATATTGTTTGGACTAGCATAAAACACATTCTTTGTTGTTTCATTAGGCATTTTTGGCCCAATCTTAAGCATACTATGACTAGATGACTTTTGCTAGGATGTGGTGGCTGGGACATCACACGCTATTTTACAGCTAAAAATCTCACTTCATGCTATTTCTGTACCTACGTCCCTTTCAATCCATCTCGCCTTGCCAAGATTTCTTTTTAATACAAAGTAGGTATTCTGACTGCTTTACATAGCTGTTTACAAGAGCTTTTTTGGTTAGAAAACTTACTTAATTCTACTTTCATAGCAATGCCTTCTTTCCCTGAACTGTTCGGTCTATATACGTGTAAAAACGTGTGCATTCCTCCAAACACTACGCCTCTAAAGTTTCACTTCTGATTGGAGCCGCTTGTACCACAAGAAAAAAAATTTCAGGTCAGTATCCACAGAGAAATCTTTTGTTTACAGTACCTTGAACCATGGTATAGAAAGAATCGATGGATGATAAGTTGGAAGTGATGCTGACATCTTCCTCTCTGCTGGATGACTCAATGTCCACTGTAATGGCCCTTTCCATCTCCCCGTGCAGGTTAGTGATGACTCCAGTTGGGAATGTAACGTTTGTCAGACGGCCCTCGCTATCGTAGCTGAAAAAAAGAAAGAAAAAAGAAAAAATAAGAGTCCAGAAATGATACATAGCAGGAACAAATTGTTTTCACTTACAAGTAAAATGAACAAAAATACCAGCTACTCATATTCTTAAGGCACGTTTGCTTTTTTTTGTGTGCATGGGATAGGCACAGCAAAGACTTCAAACGTGCTTTGAAGTAGTCAAAAGACTGCTTAACATACAGCAGCCTCAATGGTGATAGTAAGAGCAAACAGATGGATCTTCAGCTCTGCATATTATTCTTTGAAGTGTGACCAGATCCTGCTGCACATCTAATTCACCATTTCAAAGGAAGCATATTTATTGGTGCTAAATTCTGTAGCATACTGTACTCACTCTCTATTATTGGGCTAGATTTTGCTGTTATTGTAGGAATCCTCAAAATGTCTTGTAAAAAGGGTATCTTAATAAGAGTTCTCTTGGGCCTTTCCTATTCAATGATTATGCAGACCACCTGTCCTCCTGTTCCTCAGTGCTTAACATCCCTTGTATTATTAAGAGACAGAATCTGGGGTAATATTTAATCTACTTAAGCGGCTTGTAGCAGGAAACCAGAACAGCTAGCGTCTATAACTTGTTAGCTGCCTGTGGATCATAGTTTGAGAATTGTGACACAAACCATGCAGGAAATGCTTTTTTTTCTGGCTCTGCTGACATTTCTTTAAACCAACAGCTATTTAATATGAATAGGTAGATATAATTTCTGCAATTGAAGTAGACCTTTGACATCTAAACCATGTCTTTTCTTATGCTGTTTGGGTACACTCCATTGGTACATGATCAAAGACCATGCTCACATCCAAACATGCACTGTGGTCACAGTATAGAGAGGGGTAAAGCATTATGTGAGCTTCAGGTCATAAAAGTGTCTTTTTAAGATTAACACTTCCAGTACTACAGTCTTGGTTGTTAGCCTGGATGTTCAGCTGAAGGTCCTTGTTTAGAAGTATAGCCTGCCCGTAGCTGCAACAGAGAAACAAGTATCCAAAGGGTGATTCCAGGCCCACATATGACCTGTTTGCTCTTATGAGTTTTCCATCCCTCTCCTGTGACCATGGATTGGAAAGCTGAAGGAAGCTTTAGTCTCTTAAATTAACTAGAACGTGACCCTGCAGGTCCTCAACAGTGCGCTAGGCATTTCATGCTGACAATTACCATCAAAATTGCACCTTCTGGGAAAGAAAAACAAAACCAAAACCCACCCCCCCAAAAGCCCCAAGCATATCGCTGAGGCTACAGAAGCTCTTTTTCTTGAGAGAATTAATTCCAAACAGTTTTAACCCACAACACACTAACTATCTCTGAACAGCATAAGTACTGCACAGCACTGCTGTAACTGAAAGGATTAGGTTAAGAAATGTTTTTTTTCCAGTTTGCTTACTCTGTAGATTTGACAGCATTTTGCATACAGTCATTTCCATCCTTTTAACACAGTTGATTTCCTTTGTTTATGTAAGACTTTCACTTAGCAACAGGAAAAAGAGAAGAATGTTTAAAAATCAGAAACCATACTGCAAGCCAGGGAAGTCAAGTGGGGAAACTTATTTTTTGAAGTTAAGTACATTTCAAGATAATGGGGTTTCTTCCAGTGTGTTTCTAGCCCTAATTGTGGCTCTTTTTCACATGCTGGACTTGGCAAGCTGAGATACTGCATTTATGTGGGAGACCAAAACAAACATACCAACATTCCTGGTGCATGAATGTGACTGCTAGCCTATTCATGACCTTCAGCCTCATTCCTCAGTTCCAAAAACTTACTTTATTTTCATGCACAACTTCCCTTTGCAACTCCGTGGGGAACATATATTGTCCAATTAGTGTCCTTTTCTATTTTCTGCTTTATCTTTGAAAATGGTATCAAATTACTTTGTTGAGAATTACTTGCATCCTCTGATTCCAGTAGCCAAATATTGGTCTTTATTTCAAACAATAAAGCCACAGAAGGTAAGATATCCCTGTAAGAACTTTTAACCCTTTTAATCGCAATATCTGTGAGAAATTAATTACCATGTTTCCCAGTATACCACTTGAGTTGGCAAATGCTACACATCAGTAGTATTCAGTGCAGTATGTGGCTTCAGTGCAGTATGCAGCACTGAACATTGCTATTCGTCTTTTATGCATTCTTGCTTCCACATTATTATTTTTTGACTCTGTCCCTATAGTTCCTGATCTGGTCTCGTCTTTCACAAATACATGAAAGCACATCATGAGCCTGAGATAAGCAGCTAATATTATTACAGCAGGGGAGAGTTCAAAGATCAGCAAAAAATCATGCTACACATTCATGTTCTTAAAAACATGACTTTGAAGCTGAAAGAATCTTAAAAGCCATGATTGCTTGGTTCAGGCATCCTAGTGCAAGAAGAAAATGTGACAGAAACGTAAAAGGTAAGAATAGGATTTCTCATACTTTTATAGCCAGGGACAAAAAGAAAAAGGGGAAATAGGCCTTTCTACAATTCACTACATATTCCATTTTATGATGGATTGCAATAAGTGCCCTTCATTTTGTTCACTGCACATCGAATACTAAACTTACTTTATACTTGCTATCTTCTTGCCCACAATCAAAGCCTTATCAATGCACAGCATAGCAACATCACTCATACCTTTGGGCATTCTGCTTCCATTTTTCTTACTACATTCAAATATCCTTGCATTCCACTCCCAAGGTGAATTTATTCATCCAAGATTGTCAGTTTTAGACTGAGAGATTTCTTTTTATCTGCCTAGTGTTCTAATATTGAAATTGCCCTAAAAGGAGTGAGATCTAAAGTCTAGAGGGTGAGCGCCTATATTTGGCATTTCACAGCCTCTTTGATCTTTTCATCCAAACACAAGCTCAGGCACACATGTTGCCATGGAGCCCTCTGATCTTTTCCCTATGCCAGGCTCCACAGCAAAGCTGTTCAACCAACCTCTTCAATTCCTCTAGAGCCAGTTGCACATAAACTTTTCAAGCATCTAAACCAGAAACTTGCTCCCTGGGCATGACTTCACATGCATTAATCCCATCAACTCATTTCTATTCACATTAACAAAACATTTTTCTTATTTGGTCAATAACTACAGAGGACAGCAGCAGGGGCAGCCGCCACCACTGCTACCTGAAGTTCCCCTTAGATCAAATTCTTTTTTCTTCTTTAGGATGATCTGCTACTGCCAGATAGTTTTCCACTTCTGCAGTGAGAATTTCTCAGAGATAATGATTATCAGCTTCCCAGATTCTTGACCTTTTGCTCTTCACCTGCTGGAAGTCCCTCTTCCATTGTTCATCTCCTTCAGTTTTAATTACATGCCTTCCCAGACCATTTTCTGTTCTAGGCTATGTAGGACACTTCACTTTCCAGTAATAACTTCCTGGTAAGCCTTGTCACAGATGGAAATGTCCTACTTTACTTCTGACTTGTTTCTCAAGTGCATTGTATCTTAGTCTGTAGCACATTTAGCTCAACTCCAATATGCACAGCATTACTAATGTTTTATATTGGAAGATAATTCAATGTAAAATTGGGAGCTGTAGAAATAAAGTGTATAATAAAGTCTGCTGCTAAAGCCAATTGCTAAGTTATGACTGTTTTCCCGCAGACCTCTGTAGCACACTCCCGTAACAAAATAAATTTGGTACTTTTAAATTTTTTTTTGCTACTGTGAACGTCAGGTTGAAGAGCAAGGCACACCAGTTCCCACACATTTCAGACAACAAGACATGCAGTCCAAATATGTATTATGCATTTCTTTAAAGATGCATTACAGACTATGCTATCAGTTGGGATACTGTAAGAGACAAACAAGGCATGAATGCATTTCCTAATATAGACATGTATAATTTTGAGACTAGAAAGAAAAGTACTGTTAAATTCTCACCCAACATACATCAGGTATTTCCCCTATGCACCTCAAATTATCAAGAGTAGTTAAAAAATTATGAAACATTACCCTACTTGTTTCAAACTATTAATGGGCTATTATACAGCCTTATATACCATAGTGCATATACAGCCTTATATATCATACTGCTGTTTATTGGCAGGTGAGAACAGAAGGTTCAAAGCTGATGCTCAGGAGTGCGTGGTGTTGTTTTAGGTGCATACCATGTTGACAACATGCTGAAGAATCTGTCCTAACCTGGCATGAAATATCTCTGTTGGTTTGTCGAGGCCATTAAGTTACATTTACATACATTTATATACATTGTCTTTGACATTAAAGAGTTTTGGTTTCCAAATACATTCTTTCACTTGTATTCAGCCTCTGTAGAACACTGCAGATTTAGTCCCTCCTCAGTAGTCAATCTGTAGTAGTAAAAAAGAGAAGCCACTTAAACAGCACTTTCACTGCATGCTAAACCAGTATCAAAATGGTTATCTTGCCAATCAACAGGAAAGATGCCCACAGTTTATACACTATCACTTTTATTATCATTTTATCACCTGTATGGAGCTCTCCTGTCCTCTACTGGTTTAAAATAGGGCACGGCAGCTTACTGGGAGCTCTAGTTCTGACCATCTTTAACCATTATGCGGGTTGTTGAAAAAGGAAAAGACTTTCAAATTGAACATAATGAAAGTTGCTAATTTTTTTCCTTTACTCCATTTCTATGTTGCTTTCCTCATTCTGATATGCATTTTTGCTTTTTATTTGTCTGAAGAGGGACTGAATGAGTCGGTGAAGAATGAAAAAAGTGAAAGTAATCTACAGATGCATGGACACACAAGTGATTTATCTTTTATTTTTTTGCATTTCTTGTTTAGTCTCAGTGGATCCATAACTACTCATTTATAACCTGCCTTAAAAAACAACATTAATTAAAATACTGTATGCACATATTCCTTTATTTCCACACAGGACATTCAACATTGTAAAAGGTTTAGCACCTTGCTTGTGAATTCACAGGACAGATATATCAGGAAACCTGAAATATTAAACTATAACATCCTTTGGATATGTAACTAATAATTTTTGAAAAACCTG